TGACTCACAACTCACAACACTTCACGATCTTCTTCATGGCATGAACTCCATGACACAAAAAAGTCCTGTTGCCTAGTTGCCTATTGCCTTAAACAAGGGCAGCTAATAACATACAAAGTCTACAAAGTTACAAACTGACAAAAGCAAGTAAAACCACATTGTCGGCACTAACCAGCCGCCAGCCACTATTACTAGTCATCGAAGAGACCCAATCATATAATGGCAAATGGTCCGAGTCTAATTCCAATTCAAAGATTCCTTTTCGTGGCTGTGGCTGTGTTGCTTTGCTCCAACACCACTTGCATGTCCATCATGGCATTTGCATAGGCCGTGATATCCTGAACAGTTCCATGTTGCTGCACCACCTGGTACAAACACTCCAAGTTGCTGCGCACCCTTGCCAAGCAACTGATGGTTTCAGGTGGCAGCGGCAGCGCCATAGCAGCGCATGAACAAACAAACTCTGACTCAGACTCCCCTGATTTAGATATATGTTGATAGGTAGTAGGAACTCAGGGAAATTTGCATAGAAGTCTTGGAAGACCTTTACAAATTGAGAGTATTGTAATGAGTCCCTCTGTCCAGAGCAAACATATGGCCTCGAAGGATCTGGCTTTTACTGCTCACTCAATGCAGAACATTTAGTGGCAGACCACGTTTGACTCACCTGGATGGATCCTTTCCTGTAGGATACCGTAAATGGCAAAGTTTTAAGTATTTCCAAACGGAAATTGATGTCCAGCTCCCCAAAAGCCTTATTTCCGTCACGCAAATGTGGTCCACTGCTTAAAGTTCTGAAAACCCTTAAGTTCCGACGAACCCATGGGTCCACGAAATTAGCCATCCCACTTCATCACATATACAAGGTGTCCCTTGTTTTGTTGCGCAAAAGGGCATTGTTCCTGTTGTTTTTCCACCCCGCCCCACTTCGGCAAGCATATGAGACACTGTAGGAATCTGTAGGATGGACATGGGATGACAATAAGAGTGTCTCAAACTAGCACGGGGACTGACTGACTGAGTTCGTTTTTGTTTCAAGGATATTTTCGATGTTGGTTGAACCTTGATGGCTGGCTTGATCCCCGCAAAACAGCAGCAAATTGCAAGGTTTAAGCTGAGTTGCTATTGAACAGAGTTTTCTTCTCAGGACAGGCGTAGGAAGTTGATATACAGATCAAATCCGGTTCTAATTATTCGGTGTCGGTGCGCCAGGCAGTTCGAATATGTCGTCGTCGGACTGGGGCCTCAGCAGAGGGAGCTCAACTGGCAGAATGGTATGTCAGTGGGCGGCGGGCAGGTTGCATGAGCCCCAAAACGAGAAGAACAAGGGTTTCAAATCATGAGTTGTTGTACTTCTTGGCACAGGCATGAGTTTACGTTTGGATCCAAGCCCGGGGCTTCCTGCATATTTGGGGATCCTTTGGTGGTGGCCTGTGCGGGTCCACCTGTGATGTACGGAAGCCTTGGGTTGGATTGAATGAGTGGCTTGGATGAGTGCAGCCACTGACAACTGAGAAGTTCAGAAGTTGTTAAACGTGTGGGTGTGTGGTGCCCCAGATAGCACCAGGCATAGTAATAAATAAACATTACTATATTATGTATATACTCCGACTCACTAACATGGAAGTGGAACCCTCCCTGTTCGTAAAGGAAAGGAGCGCTCCAAGGGACCATAAGGGACCATGCCATCCACGTAACCATGTGTTCGTCAGAGTGTACCTACACAAGCTCAGATCGATTCCTGAACTCCTTATGCCCATTCATTGGGAGATTGAGGATGGGAAAACCAAGTTGAGGATGGTGAAGCAAATGGTCATGGCCTCCAAGAGCGATGCCTCCAAGCAGATCTAGGGTGTTTGGAATTGGTGTAGTTTACTGAGGAGCGGACTGGGAGTGTGCGTCATGCTCCCTACGACCATGCACCTGTTGCATTGCAGGTTAGGATGACTCCTCTGATGGTCTATGCACTCACGATTTGGGTGTCCACAAGCCTGCAATTTAGTCAGCGCTTGACGTTGATAATGATGATGTACATGCATATATAAATTCTGTGTACATTCGCCGTTTGTTTGAAAAGGCTGGGATAGTATCGGATAGGTTCAAGCAAATCATTCCAGTCCTTTTTATAGTGGCAATGTTTTTCCCCCTTTGTTGTTCCATCCATGTGCCCTGTTTGTCTTCAAAATCATCGTTCCAAATTGCAACACAATGAGCATCACTCACGTTGCATCCTTTCTCAACCCTCACACGTGGCCTCCTTTGGCGTGCGTTTTCTTAAAAATGCGTGCGTGCGTTTGGAACTGTGGCGCTCTGCTCCACCTAGGGGGTGGCACGGCGGCGGGCTATTGCTGCCGAGAGTTCGTGGCACAGAACGTGGGCGCCGGTCAAGTGGCTGTGGCGTGGAAACCTGGAGACCGGTGGGATTGCGGACCGGTGTCCTGGACCGGGATGGAGTTGTTGGCGCGCCAGCAGTCCAACGGGGATCGTTGGACTGATTGAATTCACCTTGTGACCTTGTGTTCGTGGTGGAGTCATGTCAGTTATACTGGGCACTTTCTGGAAACTCCAGGTATGAGGACTCCCATGGAGGGTGGTGGAGCCTTTGAGAGCGTTTGATGGGGAGACAGTCAGAAACACCAAAATGACGACAAACATCGATGGACGTGCTGTTTTGGTGAGACCTGCGATGGACGTGCTTGGGTGAACTTGTTGCTTTTCTGTTGCATCGGATCGATCTGAACAGACCATCGACCCGCAACACGAGCTTCGGGGCACAACCACTCAGCTTCGGTGGGCAAGAACCACTCCAGCCCCATGGATGGTTTGGGATATAGTCAAAAGGGAGAGTAAGCAGCTTTGGAGTTTGGAATAGACCGATTTGGCCCACACTTGGCTTCCCTGGCCATGACAAAATGGGGTTGACATGTCCATCCTGTGAACAGCATTGCATATGCGGGCGCGTCAGCATTGCATCAGTGCATGTGTAAATAAATCCTTACGATATCATCCAAGTATGAGACGTTTGGAATGCCGCTCATGTATGAGCGATTTGTGTGAACTACTGCGTAGGGGTTGGGGGGCCACACACCAGATCTTTCCCTCCAGAGCCAGTGCTGCACAGATTTTGTGATCAACTCAAATACCTCACTGGCAGGTTTTGTTGCTGAAGGTGGTTGGAGAAGGAGGAAGGCTCTAACAGCCAGATTGGATGACTCTTGATTAACAACCCCCGACATTTGAATTGAACATCCTCTTCATATGGGGGGGTTATTATCCACGAGTCTACATTATAGTAACATGTTTTTTCAGGGTGGGATTCACAACACAGACAACACGGGGCAAAAAAAAACGGCATAACCAGAGCATACAGGTCTTTTCTCACATATGGGTGCCCTCTTAGTTTCGATCTTCAGATACCATCAAACAGGGTGACCCGGTAGCACAGGTACCACTCCCGGTAGCACTCCGGCAGTATATCGCCACACACCTTCCGTCTCCACAAAGGACGATCGCCACACACCTGCCGTGCCTAGCCGTGTCCACGTTTGAGAGTCCAGCGGTTCAGCCACTCACCCGGAGTCCTTGTGGTGCCGTCGAGTTGGGTCACCCACTATGGGAGGTGGGGCCACGGAGCGCAGATCTGGGACACAAAGCTTAGATCGAAGTAGACCTGGATGGTCCTGACCTTGGTTTCTCATCTTTGGTGTAGAGGGTGTTGGGTTTCTTCTTCCTCTATACTGGTTGGGATGGTACTACAATCAATGGTTTCCAGATATTCTCCAGCTATCTCCAGTGCTTGGGGGTTCAATGTGGGGGGATCTAACTATAGTGGTCGACAAGTACCTTCGGCTTAGGATGTGTTCGCCATGTTTCAAGCCCCTTGGGCGTTTGACCAAGATGTTCTCTCCTGATCTGCTCAGCTCCACCGAGATCACTGCTGAGCCTGTGGCACCTTACGAGCGCCCAGCCTTGACCAAAGCGTGCGCAGTGGGCGCGGAGACGTGTCATTTTTTTGGGGAGCGGGAGAGGCTTAGCTTCAGATCGATTCATGCAAGCTGTTGGAGGATACTTCAAGTTGCTTTCAAGAACATGTGACATCATCAGGTGACTGCATTAATATGTATATATCGTTCCATTGTTTTGTCATTTGTTTGTTTTCGTCCCATGATTTGAGGTCCGATTTCTTCCCTTTTGGCCAGGTACTTGCACCCTCCCACGGCCAAGGCAAGGTCGCCGACCAGCCGAGCGAGGCTTTGCGAGGCTTTTAGGTATCAAACAAAAAGACCTTCTGCCCTCACCGGAAGGCACAACAAGCTTGTTTTCATGTGCAGATTCTTGAGGAGACGTGACGTAGCCTACCCTAGGATTCGAAGGATAGGGCTGCTTCGAGGACTTTGACTCAGGAGATGGCCGGGATTTGCACCAATGTGTCCAAGCTACTTCCACCGTTGTGTTTGATGGCGATGGCAGTGTTGTTTGAGTATGTTTCAGGCAATCTGATTGAAGCGATCAAAATGTCAGACTATGTTCTTTTTTGCGGCCACCTTGCCGATTAAAGGAGAGCTCCTTTGCTCAAGTTCACAGGCTTATTGCTATCAAACACATCAGCAGCTCCAAAGAATTGCCTATTGGAGGATTGGGGTGCCCATCATCCACTGTTGTTCCAGCTACTTGCCCCGCAGCCTCACGGCTCAGAGAATGTCGTGAATGTCGTGAATGGCCCAGACTCCAAATCGAAGGACCTTTTAAAAGGGTGTTTAGCCTTGTTCGCCCACTGCACGAGTTCAACGCTTCTTCAACTCCAGAAACCCAAGCCTCTCGATCTTCGAAGAGTGAAGAACAAGCAACCGATAGTTTATATATATATATATATTGAGGTCCACAAAAAAAAGAACAAACGCACAAAGGATGATGTTGTTGTCCTTTCATTCCCTTTTCACGTGCAACATTTGACCAACGTCATATCGTTCCAAGCAATCACTGTCCGTTGTTTCCGTGTAAAGAGAACCCTCCTCGTTTGGAAGGAACGCAGAGCTCTCTCTCCTTTCTTTTCGGCCGAACAATGGCGCCTCCAGAGAATTCAAAGACAAAGACGGCGCTGTCGCTGTCGAGTCCGGAGAAGAGCTTCATAGCGAGCAGTTGAGGGTGTGTCGTCGTCATAGTTGGAAAACCTGACCGCCACCCTATCTGAACTCCCGAACCCCTGATCAGATCGCGAACGCTGCGTGCTCTTCTTTGAGTTGTTGCGCAGCCACCTGCGCGCTGTTTCACACGCTTCGCAGCCGAGGTGCGCCCTTCTCGCGGCAGAGTTCCAGCGAATCGACGCGCCCTGTGCCGCAGATCCAAGCCTCGCAGGTGTCCGGACTCACCGGGCTGCAATCCTCGGAAGGATGGCCCATGGACATCGTCACGCAGCGGCTCGGCGGTTGGAACGAAGGAGGCTGAGGTGGGAGTGGAACCTGACGAGAGCAGTCCTTTGTTTGTTTTGGTGTGCAGATTTTGGCTACATTATGCAGGGACGAGGGTACAAACCCATGGATTCCATGGCTGATATGACCACCTCTCTGTTGTAACTAGAGCACTTTGGTCAGCCTTTGCATCGCTATTGTGAGTTCTGCAGATCACTTTTTGGTCGATGGATCGTATCGTCCAGGTGCATAATAGACCTTTGATCGTTACTTGATGTAACTCTGAACCTTTGACTCCTGTGGAAACTTTCTGAACCTTTTGGAGGCTTTACGGTCGGACGCCGCTGCATCTTGTACCTGTCCATGTTGGCCAATTGGTTACTTCCGGGCTTGGGGCATTCAAGTCATACGGGGGGGGCCCTGTAAGTATCGATTTGAAGGATATTGTTGCCTTCATGAACCACTCAGATTCGTGTATTCAGAGGGTGATGGATGGATGGAGAGATGCCATTGCTCGGAGGGGCGAGTTGTTTTTCATCGGAGCTGGAGGTTTCTGGCCACCTGCATGGTACTGAATCGGAGCTGGGCCGAAAAGGATTTGCTTCTGTTCGGCGTCTATCACCTGTTGGAGCCTCGTCGGCAGAGTGAGAGGCCGCAAGGCCGAATCTGTTCGTTCGGCAGGTGATTGCAGGTTTGATTTGAAACCCAGGGCCTGCAATTTCAGGTGAACATTGAGAGAGGTCGAGAGGTAGTACTTCTGACGTTCGACCTCGAACGAAGAAGGCTTGGTTAGAAAGCTTGGTTGAAGGCCCTCTCGAGGTCAAGCTCAGAAGGGTTGAACCATGTTGAAGCTCCAGAACTATGTTTGAATTTTCCTGCTAGTTACTCGGGTAGGACGCAGATTAGTTGTCCATGTTATTAAGGGTATACCCTTTGATATTTTGAACGTTTTTTGTTGTACATGAACGGCAATATGTTGTTGTCCACGGGTTTGAAAGAGTTGTCCAAACGGATGGTTGCGGTGATCTCGGAACCTTTGCTAAGGGCGCTGTCCACCAGCGTCAGCACCAGCGTCACGAAACGGAGCTCTCAACGCTTCACCCAGAGTCCAAGATGTTGAAAGGTGCTAAGCAAATGCACCTGGCTAGCTCCCAGCCTGGGACGTTTCTTTCAGCCTGGGATGTTGGGTGCTTAATAATCTTAATACCAGCCAATAGAAAAAAGTCGAAGACTTTCAAAAACTGATACTGATGGGCTTGACCTTCCTTCACCACTTCGTTCACCACTGGGTGAGTGGGCTTGACCTTCGATTTGTCTCTTTGTGTGCCCAAATCTGGTCAGACTTTGACTTTGAAGATGTTTCATGATTCGTTGTTTTGCGCCACTGGACCAAGGAATTGATGTCCTTCTTCAGTGTGAATCTTGGCTGAGACCATCTCTTCACCTGTTCCGATTGCTCATCATTGGGGGACAGCAAGCACACTGTTGGTATGCCGGGTCAGTAGTGGATGATGTTTTACTGTACATGTTTTTACTTTTTCTTGTGTGTCCGATGCACTTGCGAAACATACGGCACGGACCGCGCATTTGCATGCATTTGCATTGCATACGTTGATAACTCGCTCCCGGTGTTGGCGTTTCGCTCAACAAGCAGATTAGGCGCCAGACTTCCAGATGTGTTCCTTTCAAGACATCAGTGACCCTGCGGTTCAGCCGTTGTTGTTTCGGAAGAGATCCGAAGAGTGAGTCTGAGATCAGTGCTTTCAGAGATCTAAGGACGTATTTGGCTCAATGGACATCACACTGGTTCCTGGCAGAAACACAGAAGTCACCGCCCAACTCCATCGACTTAGATAGGCTTTAGGTGTAATGTAGATCTCTTCAAATGGGGGGTTGCAACATGATCAAGATACTACCTGTATACATGATCCTTCTTGCATGCAAGGACCCTGCGCTTGACGAACGAAACGTGGTGAGGCTGCCGTTGGACCACCCGGGCCAGCTATGCTCTTGAGAAACAATCGATCACCCACTGGCTTTTCCTTACGGAAACCCTGATGTAGGTGTGTTAGAAAGGAACACATCACTCAAGCCGGTTCGGAGGTCTCCCTGTGTTCATACCCGTTTAGGCGAGAGGAACCATTCAGTGCTCCTGGGAATCCCACCAGTCGTGTGCGGTAGTCCATTGTGACGACCCTCTCCACAGTGGGGCAAATGGACAACGATTGAACCCTTTCGCAGATACGAGTGCCACTCCGAACTTTCTCCCAAACGTGCTCGAAAGCCTTGGGGTTCCAGGAAGTTCAGTCAACATCCTCGGAGATATGAATGAGCACTTCTAAGTTTTTGGATGGATACTTTGTGCTTCAACATTATCCAATTAGCTAAGAGTGGAACACAAGGCCACCCCTGCTCTAGTGACAATGTCACCCCTCCCTCACCCAAGGTGTCTTGTTTTTATTCTTATGGCCATGTATGCTTTGGCTGCTCATCGAGCTCGCGACTGGAGAGTGCCTTTCAGAAGGCCAATTTACATGTTCTTACCAGACCCTGGTCTGAAGTGAAACTGCCGAGAAAAGCAACATTTCCGGGATTGCGATTGCCTTGAAGGTTCTGTTTCTGAGTTCCATAATTATTGGGCAGTTGGGCGCCTTCCAAGATATGTCAACGCGAGAGTATAATGGTGCTTCTGTTTTTTTCCCGCGAAGCTGCTTGAGGAGGGACGATGGAGGTATGAAACGAACTGCAACCGCCCAGCTGGTGGAGGTTCATGTCACAGTTTCCGCTGCAGCTCATGTCATCCATTGCTGATAGGCGTCAAGAGCCCAATAAAACTTCAGAATTGACTTCCCATCATCCTCAATTCTGAAGCAAATAGAATTGATTCGGTTGGTCATGTATGCCATTGCCCAACACCAAAATAGAACCACAGCAGCTTGTTTTACTCGTGAAGGCCCGAGGAATTTCGGAGTCTCCTGATCCGGAAGGCGGACCAAAACCTTTTCAGGGCCATGTGAGTGTGCCGACGAAGCCAGTTCTTTCAGGGCCATTCATCATCCCTAGGGCGTCTTGAATCTTGCTTGATGAATCAGACCCTGACCTGACCTGTCAACAGAAGGCTGACCCAGCTCTTAATTGATGATGCTTGATGTTTGGTTTGGTGTCGTTCTCGTGTCGCTCTCTTTTCCACCTATTTTGGGGAGCCGCGAGCCCGACCGGAGCCGGCAAATATTTCGGAGAGTTCGTTCCAATGCACGCGCGTCTTTCGATGGGGGTTGCGGGCAAGTAGCCACTCACCAAAGTCTGGGTTTGGCTGAGCGAAAGCCAAGCTCCACAGCATACTTGTAGCAACAGGATTGAACGGCATTATAGCAGCATGATAAGTAGCATATAGTATATGCATTATCATACATGATCATAGTATCCTTAAGAATCCTTGGGCCCTTCACTGCAGGGGTCGGGCCCCACACCGAAACGGAGGGGTCCGGACTCCTTCTCCAAACCCTATTGGAGAAGGGCTCAGATCCTATATAAGGGATATTAAGGGATAGTTTAAGTATATATATATACCTAGAGGACCCTTCGTACTTGAAATATTTGAACCTTGGCCATTCGTACTATAAATGGAACATTCGTATGGTTTATTGATAAAACGACCAGATTTTGAAGCCTCGACTGTTTTTTGAAAACGACTGGATTTTGACGCACGCTTCCAGCAGTCTTTGGGGTCAAGAGCTCTTGAACAGCTCTTGGATGCTTCGTGGACAAACTCACGGAGCTCTTGGAGAAGCATACGGGGGTTAACGTGCGCCCTGTGATTGGATGATATTGGATGAATTTGCACGGTTCTTTGTGCACGCGCAGCAAGCTGTTGTTTTCCAGGTATGCGCAGAGGATCTCTTCATGGGTCGTCGTGAGGCCTGGGCGCATCGATCGCTGGGCTTGCCAATGTTCGTCAGAAGGGCAAATCACACATTCGCAAGCGGTTTTGACTGCGGTTTTGATATGTATGCTTGGGTCCACTTTTGGGTCCTTTCTCTTCATATATCTCTTCAGGGTGGGCTCAAATTTTGTTTAGCGTGCAGCCATGGTGGTGATTGGTGGTGGGCAAGTAGAATGCCCTGTGCTGCTGGAATGGCTTAAGCTGGAATCAGTGGCTTCAAGGGCCGCGTCGAAGGGGGGTCATCTCTTTGCTTCGTGGTAATTCTATCGATAGAACCACTGTTTGTGACAACTATGAGCTACTGAAACCATTGGTGGCCAACCTTGGTATCTAGTCAGCAAAACAGAAATAGTTCAAGGAACACTTGCATGATTGGTCATGATTGGTCTTTACTATAGTGTCTAGTGTCTTCACTGATTTTAGATGATTTTAGATGTTTTTTTGGCCAAGGCATGCGCCCAAGCGTGAAAGTCCTTGAGGATTTGGTGGCGAGGTTCCTTTTTCACTGCAGGCCCAGAGGTAAGCCACTTCCCAATAGTCGCTTGACGAACATGAAGCAAATGATTGGCAAAAGGTGCCCACGCAGTACATGTTGACCAAACCAACAAATCCTAGTGAATTGCTAACTAAGGTGAGGAGATCAAAACGGAATCCTGGGTGCTTAGAAATATGATTTCCGTCCTTGCTAGTGCTGCCCGTCGCCCACATGTTCCCCGCACCTCAGAGTTCAAGGAGCTGTTTGAGGTGATCGGGATACGCCTTCCATCTAACGATTCCTTGGAACCAGGAGTTCTAGCTGCATATTGATTCTTGTAATCTCTTGTAGCTGTTTTGAGGAACTATCATTCATGGAACTTGAGCCTTCATAACCCCAGTCTAAACACCTCACCCGGTCATCACAGCCACAGCCAAGGAGCCATCAAAACTGATGCCGTGGACGAGGAGGACTTCGAGGCAGCGGAGTCTGAGGCGCCAACGGAAGACGAGGAAATCGAGGAGGATAGACTGCACAATCATCATGTACAGAAAATGCAAAGCTGTTTGTAAGATGTAGTCCGTTAGTCCATGAGAAGGATACAGGATGCATGAAGCAAATTCTCAAACCACTGCCCCAGGATATTCCAGCTCTACCTGCCATCCCTCCTCGTTCTGTTGAGAGTCCAGCATGAAACTCGTTTGCGATTCCAATATGAGTTCATTGGACTATGCATGCATGAAATCAAAACGGACCAACGATGTGATATGTCATATGCGCATTTGTTCAATCTCTTACCCAGGCACCGTCGGTGACAAGCCTTTGCCTCCTCAGCGAAGTGATTCTGAAGTGCTGGCCACACCTTCACCTCGTGGCATTCAAGTTGCATTGCGAACAAAATCGCACAAATAAACGTGATCGAAGTCCTTCATGTCATGTGGGGTTTATACGTGCGTTACTGCAGTGCGCATCTGAGGCACTACATCGACTCCACAAACTGGGCCCAAACCTTCACCTCATGTACCCGTGAAGTGTGGTTTCCGCTGTTTGCATTGTAAGCAGTCTCACATCGTTGAGAGCAACTTGATGGCTACCCCATGTCCCCGGGCTGCTGATGGACAGCATGAACCATTGAAAAAAGCCTTCATGTGCCAAGGCTGTGATCTATTGAGTGATTGTGCCGCCACTCTTCAACAGGCGCCGTGCCCCAGCCCAATCCCAACACCACCGGCACCGGAAATCAAGGCCATGACCAAGGCTTCGCCTCCTGTTTCGTTGGAGCCTCCGGAAAAGCGTGCTAGAACCTTGGAAGCCTTGAAAGATGCCGAAATGAAACTGGCACATCTAGTGATGTTGAAAGGATTGGAGAATGAACGTTTGAAGTTGCAGCAGCTTCTTGCCGCCAAACATCAAGCCAAATCTGGGGAAAATGGTTCCGAAGCAGCGATTAAAATTTGTATGCATGCATTTGCTTCTTTTGAGACCAGATCGATATATATATATATATTACCGGCAACCCAGGTGTGGACAACATCGAAACACAGCCCATGGTGGCTGCAGAAGCAGAAGCGTACGCCGCAGCTTTCGCATCCTCTCCCCCCCGCACTCCAGGACAAAAGCCCTGTTTTCCACGCCTTGCCAAAGTTGGAAGATGGCCAGGAGCCTGCCGGTGGCGAGGCTGGGTTCACAGGGCTTTAAATCAAAGACTTGCGAAAGCTACCATGGAGCTTTTGCACTGGAACACGCGTTTGGTGATTACCGATATTAATTATACGATCGATGTGATAAGCACCGCGCTGTAGGTTTCGATGAATGCCGGCAAAGCTCTTCAACCTACGGCGCCTGAGGCGCCTGCAGTTCCTACCAGTCCCACTGCTTCGACCAAGCCCAATGACGTCCCTTGTGAGACGCCGCCTGCAGACAAGACCGGCGCTGAACCCAGTGCTGAACCCTTGCCTGAAGTTGCTGAAGCTGAGATGCCATTGCCAGAACCTTCGATGAAGCCTAAGCCCATGTGTGTGGAAAACGAGCCATGCATTTCACCAGAGGAGCAAAACAAACTTGCTCGCACATCTGGGCCGAAAAGAAGGGGTCGCAAACCAAAGGGTCAGAGTGCAGAGGCCAACGACAAAACAACAAAACCTAAAGCAAAAGCAGCAAAAGCAAAAGCAAAAGCGCAAGCAAAAGCAAAAGCAAAGGCTTCGCGAAAGGAGAAACCTACCACATCGACAGAAGACCCCAAGCCTGATGCCCAGGAGCAACAGGCAAAAACAAAGACGAACAAGCGCAAGGCAGCGAGCAGCAGCAATGATGATGAACCGACAAAACCTGCCAGCCCTGAAATTGAGGAAGGGGCGCCAAGCAAAAAGCGAAAAGCTGCTGCAAACCCACCCGCTGCAAGTGCTGAGAAGGAAAGCAGAATCGATGCCAAGGCTGAACAGAAGCAGCGGAACGCTAGGAAATCCAAGGCATATCGGAGGGCGTTCAAAGCAGCCCAAGATGCAGGGAAGGAACCGGAGGATTGCGCAGCTGCGGGAAGAAAGGTACCCCAGTTATTAAATATGCATGATACAAGCGTTTGTTTAACACGCCGGTATTGACCTTTCCCCACACTTTCTTTTGTGCGATTTGGTTCATGCATGCGCTCCCTGCCACGGATCTGAGGCATACGCTGAGACCAAGTGAGAGCCAAATTGATCGATCTCATATGCTTGCAATTGTTCAAGCTACTACGGGGTTTTGGTCTAATGGTTGACTGGCTCAACGAAGCTTTTGATGTGAGTTCATTGGCAACCATTGGCCTCACTTGTGCGTGAGAGCGTCCTTAAGTGGACTCCAAAGCACGTGGTTGGGGTTCTTACTGGATAGCCAAAGGCTTTAAGATCAGTGGCCTTTGCAACCCAGCAAGAAGGAAACCGATGCGAACCATGTGGAGAGCACTCATGCATTCAAGCACCACTTTAGAGCAGACTTGTGCAGCCCCGGCGCAGCATGCTCTACATGCCATGTACATGCAATACGTGCAATCATGAACTCATGAAATGCTTTGGCATGGCAGGTCGGCCTATGGCTTGGAGGGTTCGCGCTGCTATCAATGGTGCGACTACCCCCGCCATCCCCCACTTGTG